TCAAGTCAACGAGAGAAATTGGAAGTAATGTGTGAGAATGAATTTTAATATCTTAAAGAACGTGCTTTACCCTTATACATCAAGAGCGGTTGAAACTGCTCGCATATGATGTCACGTGTTGTGCAGATAACTATTAGATTGAATTGGACTGTGCTTGATGCGTTGAAGGGAAGAATTGTCCGCTTCTGATTTTAGCAAAGGTATATCTATTCTCTAAGCCTTTTGACTCGAAATTTGCTCCTAGACCTTTTTCTATATAGGTTTTGCGTACAACCCATAACAGATGTCAATTAAAAAAAAGTAGTTTGTTTGGATCAACACTAAATTTGGTAGAATCACGATGCACAAATGTGTTTTTAACTGAAACTATACTTTTAAGATTGAGACGTTAAGTTGAAAGAGATCTCTTATCATCTCATCTAAGTGCTTTTGATTGTTTTATAGGTATCCACCCTTCATTGGTCAAAATAATCGCCAAAAACAACAAATGATATTGAATGTAAGTAACATCTTACACATGATAAACTCATTTCATAATGTTTTTTGCTTACTAAATAAAATGCATTGGAACAGGGTAATTTTAGTTTTTATGAGAAGACTTAGAAGGGAATTTCACAATCAGCAAAAAACTTGATTTCAAGTCTTCTAACTATTGATCCTGATAAAAGACCTAGTGCTCAAGAGGTATTATAATTCTACACTCTTCATAATTTTAGTACTTGAAAATATTGAAGTGTTTTCAATTTTATTATGTCATTGGAACAAGTTCTAAGTGATCCTTGGGTGAAAGGTGAGAAAGCCAAAGATGATCAAATGGATCCTGAGATAGTGTCAAGGCTACAAAGATTCAATGCAAGACGCAAACTTCACGCAACTGCGATAGCTAGTGTTTGGAGCTCCACAATCTTCCTAAAAACTAAAAGATTGAGATCATTGGTTGGATCGTATGATCTCAAAGAAGACGAAATCGAAAATCTCAAGATACATTTCAAGAAAATGTAAGTATTATATTCATGATCACATTTGTAATGCGACACGAACGTTTTTTAAATGTCAAGGTCGATGTATTAAGTATATTTGACATACATTTTTAAATAATAAAAAATATTGATGAGGACTGAGACTACTATTTAAAATCTTGGTTCCAGCTATGAAATTGATTTAACTAATACGGTGCTATAGGTTGTTAACAGATGTGCTGATAGAGAAAATGCGACTCTTAGTGAGTTTGAGGAGGTGTTAAAAGCAATAAAAATTCCATCATTGATCCCTTTTACAACTCGAATATTTGATTTGTTTGACAACAACCGCGATGGAACAGTTGATATGAGAGAGATTTTTTGTGGCTTTTCGAGTCTCAAGAACTCCAAAGGAGAGGTTGCTCTCCGTTTGTGCTTCCAGGTAATGTTACAAACTTAATTGATAGTAAAAAGTTATATATATATATATATATATATATATATATATATATATATATATATATATATATATATATATATATATATATATATATATATATATATATATATATATATATATATATATATATATATATATATATATATATATATATATATATATATAAGACCCTATTTATCTGAGAGCGACCGTCTTTGAGTGCGTACAAGGTGGACTAGACCCTCTCTTGTTAAACTATGAATAAATAGGATCTCATAATAAATTTGTCACGACTAAACTATGGTTTTGTTATTTTGTCAAGATTGAATTATGGTTAACCTACACAGAGTCTCTAAAAACATAAGACGACTATGTCAACATGTTATTGTGAATTTCTGATTTTATTTTTGTTGGCAAATAGATGTATGACACAGATAGATTAGGATGCATAAGCAAGGAAGAAGTGGAATCTATGCTAAGAGTAATTCTCATTCCTTTCAATCAAATAGCTTTATATTTTCAATTTCATCTTTTAACACAAGTATATTACTAAACAGACTTTGCCATATGATTGTCTTCCAACTGATATCACTGAACCTGGAAAACTGGATGAGATTTTCGACTTGATGGATGCCAATAGTGATGGAAAAGTTACTTTTGATTAATTCAAAGCTGCTATGCAAAGAGACAACTCTCTTCAATATTTAGTTCTCTCTACTCTTAGCCCATTGTAGTTTTTTAATTCATGATGTTATGGTGTTTTAATACTATGTACCTTTTTTTTCTCTTTTGAAGACTTTTTTATTTATGAAGTTTTCATTCCACAAAGTATGCTATCTACTTTGTTTTTGCTCTTTCGAGGAATTATTTCTATGCAGTTTATCATTCCACAAAATAAACATTATTATAGAAGAGTAACAATATTTTAGGATCTACCCAGATAATTTTGGTTATGAAGTTTATCATTTCACAAAGTAAATATTATTATAGAAGAGTAACAATATTTTTGGATCTATCCGGATGATTTTGGTGTATGGAAAATTAATATAATCATATCATTATAGAATTGTTTTGTCTATGTATCTTATATTGTAAACTTATTAATCTTTGTTATGAAATTAACCAAAATAATATAGATACAAAGGAGAGAAAGAGAAGAGAGAAACTAATATTGTATTATCTTCTTTAAAATCTCATTTACATTATAATGTGGATCTTATTTATAAAATATTAGTGAGATGGAAAATCATAACTATTAATAAAGAATCGGAAGATGAAAAACTAAGAATAAAGATGGACATTCATTTTTATATTTATTCATAACACTCCCCTTGGTTGTCCATTGAGGATATACCTCGTTAAAACCATATTAGAAAAAACCCAGTGAGAAAAATCTAGTGAAGGAAAAAGAGTACAATATCCTTTTATTTCTCCCCTCAGTTGAACGATCATTTCTTCGATGAAGATCAATCTTTTGTACTAGTTGCTTAAAAATTCTACTTGGGAGTGACTTTGTGAAAAGATCTACAAGATTATCAGATGAACATATTTGTTGGATGTTTATATCACCACTCTTTTGAAGATCATGAGTGAAAAAGAACTTTGGAGAAATTTGTTTTGTCTTGTCTCCTTTAACGTAACTATATTTCAATTGAGCGATACATGTCGTATTATCTTCATATATGGTCATTGTATTTATTTTTTTATAAGATAACCCATAATTATTTTGTATGTGTTGAATTAAGGATCTCAACTAAACGCATTATCCACTTGCCTCATGTAATGATAAAAGTTCTACATGATTAGATGATGTTGCTGCTATGGTTTGTTTCACCGATCTCCATGAAATAATTGCACCACCACATGTAAAAAAATAACCTGTTTGTGATCTACCATTATGAGGATATGACAAGTAACTTACATCTACATAACCTATTAATTTAAATTTGGATAATTTGGTACAAAATAAACTCATGTCTATTGTACCTCTAAGGTAATGAAGTATTTGTTTGACTCTGTTCCAATGTCTTTGTGTTGGTGAAGAATTGTATCTTGCTAATAGATTGACAACAAATGATATATCAGGACGTGTATAATTAACAAGGTACATTAGGGATCCAATTGCTCTAATATATGGTACTTCAGGACCAAGAAATTCTTCATCCTTTTCTCGAGGTCTGAAAGGATCGTTCTCCACATGTAATGATCTAACAACCATTGGAGTAGGCAACGAGTGACATTTGTCCATATAGAAGCTGTGGTACGGTGGGAGAACTGATTGTGGTTTTGCGTTCGTATTCGCACTTGTGCGGTTGAGCAAGAGTCGCCACCGACTTTTTATTTTATCCTAAAGGAAAGGTTTAAAAAAGCACAACAAAAACCTTTTGAGATATTTCGTGGGTTCGGGGGGTAGATTATGAAAAGGGAAGGTATTAGCACCCTTTTCATCCATGGTTATCCATGGGCTCTTAGTTACTTGGTTTTTAGATCACTTGCTTTGATTTTCGATTGCTTGGAAATGGTGTATGTGTGTGTGTTTTTGAAAATGTTTTGGAAGAAGATGCCTTGTCTTAGGCTAACCTTGTAACAATTCTTTACTCGAATATTTTACAAAGGCGTGTATCTTTTCGAAAAGATGTTTCAAAATGTTTTGAGAGTTTGTTTTGAAATTACTTGTGGAATGTGGTTTTTGAAAAGAAAACAAATGTTTTTGCAAGTTGATCTCAAGTAACTAAGAGTTTTATCTACCCTATTGTACTCAAAGGTTTTCTCTATGTTTTCAACCCTTTTTGACAATTTTGTTCCACCATTGAATTTGGTGGACAATCTTGCGTTTAGGAAGTTTTAACGGGACGGGCGCGGGTCATCGTATGGACCATGGATGCAATGGTGTCAAGTGTCTTTGGCAATTTGCTTTGAAGGGACTATAATCATTCCGTTTTAGGCAACATCCGAAAGCGTCATCGAGGGACTTATGATCATTTGATTTTGTTTTGCCAAAGATACTCGACGTGCAAGCATGGCCCATTTTGGAAGGCAACATGTGGGATTACCCTAGAGGGTGCAAGTGTGATTATGTATTGATTTCATGTATTTGTCTTGTATTAGGTTATCTAGCGTTTGATTTTATGTACATGCAAACCCTAGGTCTAATCATGGTATAATTGAAAGCGGTAAATTGCGAAAATGTAAAATCTACGCTATTACAAAATAAGTATCCGGGAGTGGGGGTACAATATTCACAAATGGGGATGAGACTTAGGAACATAATTGTCCAATAAGTTAGCCAAATTGAACCAATCAAATGTAAATATAACGAATGTCAACGTATGCGAATGTATAATGTATCAAAATGCAAGTATATTGTGTAAGTGTACGTGCATATGTGTATTTGTGTATGTAATTATTTACAGGTGCGACAATGTGAAATTAATGTGTATTGACTATTATTTTGACCTAAAAAATACTAAGTGTTTATTTAATTTAATTAATAATCTTGTATTTTCTTAATATGTACAAAAAGAAATGTTTTAATCAAAAGAAAAATATTTTCAATCTTATAAAAATATATTTTTATGTGTATATACAAAGAAAATTTAAATTAAATGTTTTAAATAAAAAACATATTTCATGTATTTTAGTATTAACAAAATAATATACAAAGTTAACAAAAATTAGGTTAGAGGAAAACTATTGTAATTAAAAAGTATTAAATGTTTTAAATTAATAAAAAAAAAGTAGGTTAATTAATTAACAGAAAAAGAACTTGTTTTATATATAAAAGGGTTAAAACTTTTAAAATGGGCCTTATGGGCTTTGGCTTGAGCAAGAGAAACGAGGGGGGTGCAAGTTGGGAATTTAATGGACTCAGTACGGTTGAAACAGGCAAGGCCCACAGTGCAAACAATTGTTTTTAGGGTTATGAAAATTGTTCTTCAGTTGGGAATGTTAGGGTTTGTGAGGTGCGCCGCTCATGGGGATTTCGTTCATCTTCTTCGCTTACGCGTTTCTGAATTTCCCCTTCGCCACAGAGCCACCAACGCCATCATCATCTCCTCTCCCTCTTCGGTCCAACGAGGCTGTAAGGTGATGTCTCTGTTTCAACGCGTTTTAGGGTTTTTGAACTTTAAGTCTTGCATGTTTAATTTGTATTCTGATTTCGATTAGGTTTCGTTATTGACTCTGACCACTTATGTCCTTTTTGTTCAAGGTGCGAAGAGAAGAGAAGAAACAGTTACCTTCGTTGGAGGAGATGGTCAGGAGGCGTTTTGGAGGGCTCGACGGCGGAGAGAACGTGATTGTGAAGCTGACTTGCTTGGGGAAATCTGGTTTGTATCGTTGTCTCTTTAAGGTTTGATGATGATATGTGACAAACTGA